TTATGATCCCCTCTTTAGAGTAATTATAAGAATTACTTGAGTTTTTTTTCTAATTACATGAAACATGCTAATTTGGGGTTATTGTGATTATTTAAGTAGTGCTTTAAAAAGGTAGTCGTGTTTTTTTTTTGATTCTTTTATTTTTAGCATTTGATATTATCTAACCACAAAAAACTGCCATTGTGCCAAGGACTTTACTAGCTTTTATATTACATATCATAGAACTGTGTCTTATCTGTCACTACTTCCTCTCTACATCATTGTCTCTTTTCTTATATGTCTCTACTTCATCTCTACATCATTGTCTCCTTTCTTATATGTCTTTACTTCCTCTCTACATCATTGTCTCTTTTCTTATCTGTCTTTACTTCCTCTCTACATCATTGTGTCCTTTCTTGTATGTCTTTACTTCCTCTCTACATCATTGTCTCTTTTCTTATATGTCTCTACTTCCTCTCTACATCATTGTCTCTTTTCTTATATGTCTCTACTTCATCTCTACATCATTGTCTCTTTACTTATATGTCTCTACTTCCTCTCTACATCATTGTCTCTTTACTTTATCTGTCTTTACTTCCTCTCTACACCATTGTCTCTTTTCTTATCTGTCTTTACTTCCTCTCTACATCATTGTCTCTTTTCTTATATGTCTCTACTTCATCTCTACATCATTGTCTCTTTTCTTATCTGTCTCTACTTCCTCTCTACATCATTGTCTCTTTTCTTATCTGTCTTTACTTCCTCTCTACCTCATTGTCTCTTTTCTTATATGTCTCTACTTCATCTCTACATCATTGTCTCTTTTCTTATCTGTCTCTACTTCATCTCTACATCATTGTCTCTTTTCTTATCTGTCTCTACTTCCTCTCTACATCATTGTCTCTTTTCTTATCTGTCTTTACTTCCTCTCTACCTCATTGTCTCTTTTCTTATATGTCTCTACTTCATCTCTACATCATTGTCTCTTTTCTTATCTGTCTCTACTTCATCTCTACATCATTTTCTCTTTACTTATATGTCTTTACTTCCTCTCTACCTCATTGTCTCTTTTCTTATATGTCTCTACTTCATCTCTACCTCATTGTCTCTTTTCTTATATGTCTCTACTTCATCTCTACATCATTGTCTCTTTTCTTATATGTCTCTACTTCATCTCTACATCATTGTCTCTTTTCTTATCTGTCTCTACTTCCTCTCTACATCATTCTCTTTTCTTATCTGTCTCTACTTCATCCCTCAATTTTAATTCCGTCTTCATTAGCTCACAGGGTGCAGAAAAGTAGGACGTAAAATTAATTTAATGCTCTTCAATTCTCGAATAATCTAATTGCCAACAGCAACTGTAGATGTGTATTTCACATTCATTCCCCATCACAATCAGAATGCAGGAAGGTAGGACACTGGTATCTGTGGTATTTGAGAAACAATTGCTTCTGTATAAAAAAAAATTGTATCCAATTGACCTAGATAAGAATATCGACTACGTGACTATGGAACTTTGAGTAATAGTAACTAACAGATAATTCGATATGGTTCTACCATTAATAACCATTCAAGTCTTCCTGATAAAACAATAGTAGGTGGATTGTGTCGGTGCCAGTTATTTCTGACGTCTTTGACAAGAGATAGTCTGATAGTCAATAAATGATTCCATTCACACATAATCAGCAAATATATCGTTAAGCTGGTGGTATCTCACTATTTACTCTTCGTGTTCCAGCACAAAAAATGAGGATAACGAGTTGATCCTTTTAAAGTATCCAAATTGACAGCTGAATCAGATATGTTGATAGTGTAACTTAGTCGTAATGTCTAGAACTAGTCTAAACCATGACAAAGGAACGTGGAATAGTGTTCAAGTAGGTCTGAAGTTGGGAATAGACAAGGTACTAATGGTGCGGGAACGCCGATACAAAAGAACACAGATAATATAGTCTGGACCCGTATCTCGTGTATTCTTCTGTATCGATAATCACGCACCGGACACACGCTTCGTCTATTCCTATCTTAAATGCGCCCATAGCATATTGTGTTCTGTTACAATGGATCATTTCCACCAACCAGGGAGGGACGAATACTAGATGAGTTTACAGTGGCTTGACTTTGATGGGGTTCTTTTACGAGTGCAACGGACACAATATAATGCAAATGATGTCAAACGCAGACATGATTCTGATAGTGGGCATGGAATAATAGTGTAAAAAAGAAATTCCGGCGGTACTTTGTGGCAGGTGGTCAGAAAACCAACCTTAGTCTCAATTTCCGTCCCCAGTTTCATTGGCTGATACAAATAATGAAATGTCCGACGTCATAAGATTTGAAGCGTAAACCACCCCACCCACTTTTCCGAAAACAACATGTTTTTAACTCATTCCAGGAGCAAAAAAAAAATAACCATTGAATCGGTTAGGATATTAGATTTTATTAACATAACAATATATAGCAAACAGAACAATTATCACAAACAGAAATACTTTAATAAAAACAACACAATAATTATATCACAATATATTTATCTATTTAACTATTTACAATAAATAATAATATCACGATATTGGGCTCATTTTGAAATGATCATAATATACAACATTCTAGTTCAAAAACAGCCAATTCTAACATTTAAAAATTCGATTAGAGGGTATTACAAGGATTCTGTTTATATGTCAATTTTGAGAATCTAACTTTTATATTCATGAAAGAGGTAGTATTCCTTTAGAAAAAAGGAAACAAGAGGTTTAATCAAAAATGTATCGCAAAAAAATATCCTGCTCTTTGCCACTCACTAGCAATCAAAATGCAAAAAAAAACAAACTGAAAATAATTCGGTAGAAATGGTTATTCTCGCTTGTTACTTCTGTTATTCTCGCTTGTTACTTCTGTTATTCTCGCTTGTTACTTCTGTTATTCTCGCTTGTTACTTCTGTTTACATGAATTCTTAATGTTTTCATATGCATTAACGTGTAGATACGATTTTTTGCGCATTTATTCTTCCTTTTAACAAGTCAATTAGAATGGTTTACATTGGTCCTCTATATAAATGATAACTAATAAAACATATTATGTGTATATGATAGAAAGTTAATATTTACTCTTATGTTTCTAATAACGTGTTAAAATATCTCAAATATGACAATAATGAAACGTGCAAAAGTGAAAATTTAATTTTAAAATCAAAATATGCCATAATATTTAGAAATTTGTTAAAATCAAATATACTGAATATTAAAATGGTTTAAGAAGTATAAGGCGTCTACACCAGACAGAAGCTTGCTGTACTCCCGAATTGGCAAAAAAAAATGAACGAAAAGATTATAATTTCGATCGAAAATATTACTCGTTGGTAATATTTCTTAAAATCACGGCGACAATTTAAGAAAGAAATGATTTGGGAGGTTCCTTTTATTTTGACCAATCGTCAAACTTGACCGAATCAAATTAGGTCATATTACTGCTCGCGGACTGTTCTACTGTTTCACAAGTCAATTGTTTGAGAACATGGATTCTTTAGAAAGATTTGAAGACCGAAACTTGGAACTCAACATGATATTATTCGCATGAGGTGGCTTTAAAATAGTTTTTAACGTGAATTAATCTAAACGGTTTTTTCGAATAAGCGATGTATATGTTAAGCATATAGATATAAACATTATAAAAGTAAATATGCCATGATGAGAGAAGATAGGCGATTTCCTGTCAAAACAAAATTTCAAATATTTTTATATCTATATTTGATATATCTACTGAATATACTCATTATCAAATGAAACATCCAAACTGACATTTTAAAAATAATTTGTACGCCTGTACATAATCTGATAAGATTTAGAATGACTTAATAATAGCTTTTAATATACGTGGTCTTAAAGCATACAAAACATAGAGTGGTTCGTCACGTAATGCCGTCGATTGTGATTAAGAATCTAAAATACTGAAAGCTTACTGAAGGGCTCCATACATTACATTGAAGTAGGTGTGCCAAGTGCTTTAAGTCCAGACATACATGAGTTCAGTGGTACCTAGGAAAATGGTTTGTACCCATAATTCGCCCACAAATTTTTATACTTTTTTTACCCAAAATATGTGTGAGAAGACACCAAATCAATTTTATTTCTCAAATTTTCTTGAGCACCCTTTCAGATGCTCGTTTGGAAGCTCTGATCTATGCACTTCCACAGAGCTGTCGTATTTTGAATCTCGCCTTCGGGAGGTCTCGGAAGGCTGACGACACTGCATGAGTATACGTGTAGTTTTGAGTCAGTCGTACGTCAATTGAGATCTGGACTTGTATACATACAGTCTGGTAAGTGCAAATTTGACCATGGGATTCACTGATCTATATACAGATTTGCGTTACTTTAGATGTACCCTGTACACCAGAACTGAAATGCGACCTATCCTATTCTCATATTGAGTAAGTTTGCATGAAGTTGTGTGACAATATTAATATACTTGCGTAAGTGTGTGCCAATGTACATTCGAGCTTGTGGTAATTTAAATACAGTAGTGCGTCGTTATTTTACATTAAAAATCATCATAACTTTAGCTTAACGTCATATATCATATTATAACATTACTGATTGGTTTATTAGATTGAACTCATGATGATGACTGCAAAGGGATTTCTAAGAGGAATGAGATACAATCATCAAGTTGTGACGTTGCTGATCACATATACATTTATTTAAATGACATACAGTCAAATTTGTACCCACAGCCACTTCAGCACCACCCTCCAACGAACAGCACCAAAATGGCACCTGAGATATGAAAAAGACCTAGGCGTGTATATATGAAAGAATCAAACCATCTCTTCCCAGAAATCAGATAGGTGGCCTCTTTAAAGCTATTAATTAAAAGCAAAAGGTATAGTGAGACGAAGATATTTATGCAGATATCTTATGAGTAAGATTCAAAACACAGGCAGTCTGGTACTTATAGTTGTACAATGAGGATCTAACTTATATTGTTCCATTCGATGTCAGGCTAGGACGATCATCTCTCAAAGGTCACAGGTAGCGGTGGTCCTCCTGAAACAGCCTTTCGTAAAATCAGATGTTTCTTCTTCTGCTTTCCAGCTAAGATACCAGCATTTCATTGGTTGAGGTCGACCTTTCATGGGAATTTCACCACGATATTCAAACAGAAATCTTGGGTCGTGGCATACTGTCTTGTTTAGAAAACTGAAAGATTAAAAAATGATAAAAGTGAAGTTTATGAATAGTTATTCCAGAGAGATTTTTCTAGCTTTTGTGAGTTTGTCAGAGATACATTTCTTTAGTATTTGAATCGATACGATTTTCCCATCTCTGTTCTTTTCTAATATTTCAAAATTCAGAAGAGAATTTTAGACAAACTGAAATGCCATTTCTAAAAACAAGTACTTAAAAAGACTTACCCAAAAGCAGTTTCAGAAACGTTGATCTTTCCCTTTACACCAGTGGTTTCTGTACGACTCGTTATATTAACAGTATTACCAAATAAACAATATCGTGGCATCTTTTTACCAATGACTCCAGTAACTACTGGTCCAGAATGGATACCAATAGTGATCTGAAATGATTTACAACGAAACAACCATAGTTTACGAGGATAAATACTCGGTACTATTAGACTATTTTGTTTACATCAGTTTATGGGAATAATATCTCCCGGATTACCCTGGTCCTTTTCAGAGCAAGGTCCAGAAGTATATTGAGGATTTATTCAGTGTAAGCAGAGTCTATAACGATCACAATGATTAGCAAATATTTTATCGAACACTCCTTCCCCAAAATCCCAAAGCTATTGGAACATGTATAGTCATCTCAATATGACAAAGCTTAGTATAAAATGTTATCATCGGTCAAAATTTCCTTTATTTCTCTTTTCACCCATTGCAAAGATCGATGACCCTATCCAGATAAGGTGTAATGCTTACCACAATTTGGTTTCCATCAGGATCCTTTAAACTTCTAGAAATATCCATCATATTCAGAGCTAATAATGCGATACATCGAGCATGGTCATCACAAGGTTCTGGTAGACCACTGGCAGCCATATATTTATCACCTACTGTTTCTACCTGTAACAGAGTACATGCATATACCAAAATGAACTTGTGTAAGGCATGACCTGCATGGCAGTGGCAATAAAACTTAATCCTCTTCGGTAATGACTGAGTGAATCTTTGCCTGTATTCTCTCTCATATATATCGCTCTTTACTTCGGCGTTGACCAATGGTTTGCCCCGTGATTGTCATATGGAGTTGTGAATATTTCTTCAAATACTTTTGTGGAAGTAGCTCAAACTCACTTTTCAGCTTCTTATTGCAATATTAACTCAATAATTGAATTTCAGTCGACCAATCTTTCAACAAGTATATTTTTGGTTATCCGTATAATAGTAATTATTGAGCTATATAATTTGTTTATACCTTGTAGATATTTGGATTTGTTGCAGGGTCAATTAAGACATCAAATTTACTATAAACTGTATTGAGCATGTGAACAATCCGCATTGCACCAAGACCTTCTGAGTTTTTAGCACAGAATTCATTGAAGCCCAATATACCACTGAACATTAAGGTAACATTATTGTGTTTCTCAGCTACCACTGGCTGTTGATGTCGTAGTTTGTTTGCTACTGACGGTGGTAAAATGGAATACATTAATCTGAAAATAGAACAACGCTCTAGGTTGTATTTATCTGCACTATGAACCATCTGACCAGCATCAACGACTGTTCACCTAAGACAACCCAAAAAAAATATTTTTTCACGGGAGTTGAATTAATAATGATACAGTCATGTGATCATTATATAATTATTATTTAACCCTTGACCCTATATCAGAGTACACACGAGACATTTCCTACTTTTAAACTATATATGGCACTAGGGCAGTGGGTTTCAAGACAGTTGTACCTATAGATTCTGACTGATGGAAGACCAACACAGCGACGAGGATTAAGTCATTTAGCGCTTAAGACTCAACAACATAAATGTAATAAAGAATGGCTTCCACCCAAGACAAAATGACTTTCGTTCTTTGGGTAATAAAGTTCTTTGTCACTTCAAAGAATGCAATCAATTCTCAAAGTGCTGATCTTGTATAATATGTAAACAATAAGAATTCAGAGGTTTATTTTAAAGTAGAACTGTCTGGAATTATATAACCGAAAGATTTTTGCAGAATTAGTCGATCCAACCTTCCATAAGAGACAACTTCGGCTCCATTTTTGATGTCTCTTTGTGCAAACGAGTAAATAATATAATCTTTTAAAGAATAGATACATTTTATATATACATAAGTAGAACTATCAGGAATTATATAACCAAAAGATTTTTTTCGAATTAGCCGATCCAACCTTCCATAATAGACAACCTCGGCTTCATAGTCACCATGATTGTAAAAAAAAACAAATCCCAAAATTGCTGTCTCTTTGCGCAAACGGGTAAATACAAAAATCTTTTACAGAATAAATATATATATAACATTTTCGGACATCAAGGTGCTTAAAAATTTATTTATTGGTATGTCGACATAATAATGATTTATCTATGACAGAATAAAATAAATATCGGGACTATACTCCTTTAAGTCTAGTTTTGTTCCTGTGTATATTAGCATAGCTAACCACAGCAAGACCTCTTTCATAATTAAAAGTTTACTTTGTACTAAATGTCTTCATTAGTAGAAGTCAAACAGAAATGATCAATTATTTGTCAGAAGGTAGCAGGATCCCTTCGTGATAATTAACAAATGTCTTTCACAAGTAACAGCACACAATGTTCAATAAAGTTGTTTCGAAATACAACGAAATGCAATTCACACCTCACAATATAATATAATGAAGACTGTCAATGCTATGTGGTATGCAATGAGGGACAATGCCAGTAAAGTGGCATTATCCTACTGTTTAATTTAATGTGGCTATAGCACATGCTACCCCCCCCCCCCCTCCCCCATTTCCGGTACTTTTTACGAAATCTTATATATTATACAATTCTTTGTAACCCTCAGTTTGAACAAAATATCAGATAGCACCCACAAATAGACTGAAAAAAGTGAAACGGTCACTCACCTATCTGTTTTAGCCTTTTCTGTAGCCAGTTCTCGATGAGTTTGTTTCAGTTTGTCAGTAAGGATCTCTAGTTTTTGGGTAAGCTTGTATTCGGCCTCAAACTGTTCAGACAACAGAACTAGATCTCGAGTTGCATCATGAAGAGGTATATCGCTGAGGTACAGTCCCCGTCTACATAGATCGTCCAGATTGATGACGCTGGGAGAACACAGGAACAACATACACCCAGCCTCCTTCACATAGATCATCTGGCCCTTGAGACGCATCTTGGACGTGTCTTGCGTAGGGAGTGTGTCACCTTCTAAAGCATCTAAATCCACAACATTGACTTTGGTCCTCAAAACATAAATAGTATTAATATGGGATAAGATATTGTCGAAGTTAAAGTCCATTTGAGGTCGTATCATTTCAAATAGATCCGTTATCTTCTTGTTGTCGATGGTATTGGGAAGAACTCTTATGAAAGAGTTGCCAGCTTGTCGAATGATCAAGTTTTCATCGAACATGATATGGAAGGGAAACAGGCGGCAAAAGGAAGATGGACTGATCTTTGGCTCAACTGATAACATGTGTTCGAAGCATTCATTCTTGGTATCAATGGCATTTTTGGCTGTGGACTTTTCGTGAATGATGAACTGAACATGGCCACAATCCTCTTTGTCTTGAATCAGCTCAAGCTCTACCTCCGAGTCATGTAGCCTCTTGGCCACAGTTTTTACAATACCAATGACAATTCGTTCCAGACCAGGACGTTCAGAGTAATAGTGAAGGATAGTCGCACCATCTGAGTCTCTCTCAGAACACCTGAACGATGGGGCATTCATACCAGGATAAATAGTAGCCAGATGATCATGTAGTGCATCCAAATTTTGGAGAAAATCTTTGGTTGTTCCACCAAGTACCTTTAAAATCTTATCATAACCAGACTCTTCACAAAATTGGAAGAACATGACCCCGAACATTTCCAAGATGTCACCAGCTGGTGTGTCTGAAAGAAGTAAAACCTGTTTGAGAGAGTCTTTGAATGGCATTTAGCAATTGTGAGTACGATATATAGACACAGCTTTATGGAACAACAATCACTGGTTAAAGTTTTATGCAACGTTCCGACGTGTTTCTCTCGTCGTCCTCAGGCACATAATGATAAGAAACTGTTTGAAATGAACTACAGCTACTTCAAGAGAAAAATCTTTGGTGTTTAAAGTACATTTTCTTCTTTGACCGTTTATCATATACAGCGACTGATATTTTATTGTGTTAATTGTTTTTTTTTTGTTCAGTGAGGGCCAAAACATCAGATAAAAAGAATTTTAATTTTTAAGGTTGTCTTGTACTATACAAACTATTGAACCATGATTGAATCGGATAGTAATATGATCCTCCGAGTGAAGCAATCCACAGTCTGATATCAAATGATATTTTAAGTAAAATAATAAGGTTTTATGTCAATACTTACTAAGAACTTTAGAAGCAGCACCAACCAGATTATAGGATACATCATCATCATAAATAGACCTGACCAGAAAACTGCCATCCATCTCCAATAAAGCTTCTTTCCTGAAAGAAGAACGTCATCCATTTATATTTCTCTAAGTCTTTGACAAGATGATAACTATTCCGATTTAACATTGGGAATGAAATAAAATGAATGAATGGAGTTTTACGTCCTATCTTCTGCGCCATGTGGGCTTATGAAGACGGACAACGGTGCTATGAGAGAAATTTTTCCAGGACAGCGGGATTTAACATTGGAGGAAGAATGAAACGACAAAATTTACGAGTTCTTGAGTATTTAAGAAATACTATCCCCGTTTAGAAAAATAGGGATTCAAAAATAAGCATTGGTATAGTTAGTAGGTTTATATTAATCCTTCATAAGATTATTAATTAACGAAAAAAAATTTCGGTAGCGTTCCTAAAAAATGTATTTAATGGTATAGCGAAGGCGATTCTATTTGAAGGACTGCTCTATCAGTACAGCCCACGTCTTTGAATAATAAACATTTCCTAATGCATTAAGAGAACATAATGGACAAGCTAGTGATTGTAAGAACCAAGACAAACCACGATTCAATTGAAAAGACAGAGATAATAATATACTAGTCTGACTGCTTCCTTTTCATATTAATGCCTTTGTCCTTTTATTCTGAAACTCTCTTACGTTCCCTAACTTAGTCTTAAAGTTTTATCTAAATTTCCCTTGGTACCTTTCTAAATAACTTTGACAGAATTGTGTGTGCCTTAAAGTTAATTAAGAGTTTTAATCTTTAATTGATCTTAACAAAACACGATAACTCTTCGGAAATGGATAAGTGTTTACGTAAATTTTTTTGAAAATTCCACTCTTGCCTTGCAGATACATGCAATGTTCGAAACAAAGTTAAAATCATATTGAGCATTTAACTGTCAAATAGATGTAAAGAATTCTAATTTTTGAATTGTTCTTCCACAGAACTGAAGAGATTTTTCAAAAAGAAAAAGGTAACGTAAATGTGTGTTTCCATAAAGCAAGTACATCGCTGACACGAGTGTTTCCATAAAGAAAGCAGATCGCTGACACGAGTGTTGTCATAAAGATAGCAGATCGCTGACACGAGTGTTTCCATAAAGCAAGCACACTGCCGACACGAGTGTTTCCATTAAGCAAGCACATCGCTGACACGAGTGTTTCCTTAAAGCAAGCACATCGCTGACACGGGAGTTTCCATAAAGCAAGAACATTGCCGACATAAGTGTTTCCATAAGGCACAAGATTGGTCGTCAAATTCGCGTTTATATGAAACGACTCAAAATAATGAACAGATCATAACCGGCCCACCAATTTACGTTAAGGCTCGAAGTGAACCAAATCAGTGGTCTAACGGACTTTCTAGAGTCACAGATATTCTTAAGCAAAATGCGTATTGAAAATATTTTTTTTTTAATATCAAGCACTAATAATTTTAAAGGATTAGTCAAAAGATCAACATTTAACGGCAGTAGTAGCACAAATCGCAGTCCAACCAACTACATCATTTATAAATGCGTGTTCTTACACGCAGCCTTAAGCAAAATCGTATAAACTAAAAGACGACAGCAATAAAATTATAGAGCGAATAAAAAGCCTCTCTGGGAACAATGATGAGTATCATAACAAGATTGGACCATATTACTGTAGACTTTCATCAGGGAATAAGATGACATCTAACCGTATGACAGCTACTTATTCCGAGAGAAGCAGATTAAGTAGATGAGATGAGATTTGTGGAGCACAAAGAGATTGTTTCCATGTGGTTGTTTACATTGTCCTTAGTCAATTGTCATTCATCGTCACAGATAGTTTGACACATCATTGCCATGAAAGCCGATAACGAATGAGGTTTCATAGATGGACTGAAGCATTTGGCAATATACCGATCTATCTAGATATAACACTAAACCCGGCATCATAATCCAGCAATTAAAAAAAGCAGAGCGAAGGAGATTGTGTGAGCAATAACTGTATATTTTTTATTGTCTCGATCAAATAATGTAGAGCTCGAGTTTTTCAGATCAATTTTTTTGTACTAAATTGCATTGTTATTCCTTTCAGAATGCAATTACTCATGACTTCAAATTCCCATAGAAATTATGGACGTCAGTTAAAGTGTTGAAGTGCATATGACTCGTCTGTGCCTATATGTCTTAAAGTCCAAAAATTTATTTTTAATTTTTTTATATATGTTTTTTTATTAAAATTAGTAACATAATATACATTTGTACAAGATATATAATTGTTCTATGCAAAGGTTATTCTTCTGACGTTATTTCTAGTCTATTTAGCATAGTGCACAAACAAAATCACATTTATATTTTACTGTTGTCAATTGAAACATTGGTTAAAGAGTAAAATAAGGATGCACAAAAAGACAACAATATGCAGATGATTATAGGATGGGATATCAGTCAATGCAAGAGGTTGATCCCAGTTTTACTAGAGTGCACAACATGAGCAACAGGTGGCAGTTACAAGATGCAGCTGCTAGAAGGCGATGAAAAGTTAGCTTATCCGAGGTTTTGCCAGTAGCACGGTCGATCTGAGCCCCCAACCATGGTTCCCTTGTATCATTTGGTATTTTCGCCTTCAAAATTAAAGCTTTATTCTGGAAAAGGTTCTCCATGTTTTTGGAGAATCGGAAATTAGCTGCTAATTGTACTATACAAGCATTATAGCGATTTTACCTCTAATTGTATATAATTGTTATCAATTTATATAAATTATAAAAATATTGAATTTGTTATAAAAAATAATCCGATATAATCTTTATAATATCAATAATTACTATTGATTTTAATTATAATACTAATTGTCGTAATTTTATTATTATTTCTAGCTAATGGTAATATCGTAATTTCGAATCAATGTATTGAAGAATTAGCGACTGTTTTTACGCTTCTATTCTAATGTACCATGTAATTTGGGTGTGTACTCTTGATCCGCCCACTATTAAATGTGACTGGTATGGTATGAAACTTCAATCAACAACCAATGAAACCGGAAGTACACACGCTGGACCTTGTCATTTAGGCATGTTTTCCTGGATGGTATTGTCGTCTACCATTATTTTCCCAATTTTAATTATTATTACATTTAGATCTTTTATCCATAGGCTATTATGAGCAATCATCCGACGATTGGGTTGTTGGGATATTAGTTACTTAGCGAACCGTCAGAAGGCACTGTTCAATGTTCATTGAATTAATTGTTTTGTTGAATCGTGGTTCTTTCTCAATAGGTTTTTCGTAATGTGTTTTAACCTCAGTGGTTTATGCGCATGACAGGAAGTTGATATCATCCTCTTCTTTTCTGGATTTTCACAAGAAGTGACAAGAGTTAAAGAGATTGCAGAGAGGATGTTTCTGTGATGGTATTTTCCTTAGATTACACATGTAGTGATTTGTCCACAACCCACCCTGCCAGTATTAAAAATACTAATAAGACAGAAACTACTGTTTTTAACGCAACCCAATGAGAGTATTACTAAACACACTGGCTATTTGTATCGTCACGATGCCTGTTCTCTATGGCTGCTAACAACGGTATGGATAAGATAAGACACAATGGGCGCGCCATTTTGATTTTCAAGAATGATATTAAGTGACTTAGGGTTAGGTGGGATGGCCATATGTTTTTAATGCCCATTTTTGGTTTAAACAGTATTTTATTTCTATCATACATATCGTTTGTACGGAGTATAAATAGGGTTTCGGAAACAAGCCAAGGCTTATGCTAATCCGTCAAAATGCCCATTTTTGTACCGTCGCGGTGCGAATAGCCACGGCCATTACTTAAACATTTGATGAAAAATATTAAGAAAACGCATAACTACACGCACGACAGCATGTTCTGAACGATATCATAACGCGATACGTTGACTTTTTAGGGAAGATGACACTGAACGAGGTTCCTGTAATTATAGACAAAGTTATCCTAGTTTATTAACCTCATTATTTCAGATTAGCAACTTACTGTCTTTTAAACTGTCCACCCATTGTCTTAGTTCGTCTATTAAATTCGTCAAATCTGGGGAAATCTGAGCACTGTCTGGTCTTTTGTATTCGACAATGTTAAAATGATATTTAATAACAGCGGTAAGGTAAAGTGACCAGCTGAAGTTGTCAGACAAATGATTTTAATTGTACCTTCAGGTTAAGTCTGTATTTCTAAAACTTAATGAAGTTGATGTCTTGTACTTAGTCTACTGACTCTAAAGTTTTATGGAGTCGAAAAACAAATAAGCTCCTGGGTTTTTTCGTTGGTTATTAAAAAATAGAAAGAGTTCTTACTGGGAACGAGAGATGGGTTTAGACCGTCGTGAGACAGGTTAGAGTTCCCCGTCTCACTTAACCCCATCGTGTCCAAACCACGCCCCCACAAGAGACCATGTCAAAACCCAATACAATACGGCGGTCTAAACCCAGCTAACGCTCCCTGTTGGTGGGCGAACAATCCAACGCTTGGCTTGCTTCGCAATGATAGGTAGAGCCGACGGAATAGGCTTTGAATATGGCCAAAGTCATGCAATTTTGCAGAGCTTGTACCTGGTCTACTGCGATCAAAAGCCGAAAAAGCTAATAAGTAATCATTTACGAGTTGGAAAGGAGTAATAGAAAAAAAAAGGTTGAAAACCCCAGGCTTAGGGGAACACAATATTACATGCTTTGTGCTATCACGAACTGTAATTTTAACTTCTTAAAAAATCACAAGCCCAACCAAATCAAAGAGGATTGTAACAAAATTAACGCGAAATAGTCATGATTTGGTGAAAGAATGAAGTGATCAATATAGCCCTTAATTTCAAAAACCAACATTTAAATAATAGAACTAACTTGATTAGTTGATGTTACAACACGTAAAATGTCGATATGGTACACTTTACTGTCCAGTTATATCACTCCGTTAATTCTATTGTTGACATGGACTGATAGACCTTATTTTCCACTCGATAAAAATCAAGAGATCTTGAAAACCTACTGTATCAAATTCCGATCAGAGTTTATTATTAGCCAAACTTCTGTGTCAATGCTCTTAGTTTGTCTGTGTCAGACTACTTGCAAAGACTACTCTTTTTTATGATAATGTCCAAAAGGTTCAGGCTACGTATGCATGTTGCTTCTATATTTATTCCACCGAATTTCCAGTGGTCGGTTCCTTTATAAGCTAATAGTACCCATTGGAAGTACCACTCGTGGATCAGAAAATTTCGTTTGTATCTCAAATTGTAACCCCCACTCACTTCCAAATTTTCAATGATGATTTTTATACGTTTTTGTCCTTCAAAATGTGTCAGAAAGTACAAATTTAATCATATTTTTCAATTTCTTTCGCGTTTGAAGCGTCAAGTTATCTTAGTCCACAAGGCTTGCGCTACCACTGACGGTACCCTCTTGAATAGACAAAGTAAGCATTTGCTTATTTCACAACTTTTGAACTAATCGACTACTTCCGAATACGTCACATGAAGGGATATGAAGATAGGTCATTTACGTATTGGAGCTAATTAGACTCATTGAATCATCTTCATAAGCATTTGAATACTTTCAGAATTTTTTTTAACTAATCGGATGTCTGATTACTGACTAATTCAGACATGTCACATGAAGGGGTATAAGATACGTCATTCACATTTTGGAGATGATTTGACGCAGTGAATTCAGTTGAATAACAACAGTCTTACAGTTAATGAAGTCTAGATGCTTGAGACTATCACGTTTTGACTGCTTTATATGGGCTATACAAATAGTGAAACTCGATGAATCTAGAAGATAACTAACCTATTAAGTTATACATAAGAATGACTGAAAGCTATAGAATTGATTATTGACAAGTTTGCATTTAGTGGCGAACTAGCGGTGGCTATCTGCCACGGACTAAGCGAAGCATTATGATGCAAGTGATAATGGCCTTTAGTGATATAGCTGAAAGCTTTGGATTGATGATCGTAAGGTTGTGTGGACTGCTTAAGGAATTGTCTTGATGGTTCTGATCAATTATGCAATTACTTAAAGTGCTATGATATTGCCTGAAAGTTTGGAATTGAGTGATAAGTTTATCAATTTTTAGTATTTGTCTCTGTTTAATGGAAGCATGGTCCATAGTCGTTTAGCTACATGGTCCTCCTTCACCGCTGTTCCAAAATCACCAACATGAAATATTTTGAATACGCTTCTGGATTTGGTAATCAAATTGATTAAAGTGAGAATACTTGCTAATTCTATAAATATTAAACGTTCTTTGTTCTGATTTTGTTCTGACATAGTAGTGCCAGGTCGTTCAGATATGTTGAAAAGTATCTGATGGCGCCCAAAGATTATTGAGTGGAACATGCAAATGAATTTCATCTACAGAAAATTACTAGCACTTCATTTTAAAGACAACCGATATTATGTTTTTGTGTGGCAAGAATGTGTAATTAAACTGAATATGTAACGTGAAGGAGGATGAATCTGACCTAATTTGGAATTGTATCCAACGCAATGCTCAATGGAGACGAGTCTGTCATCGAATCGAATGAACAGTGATTCGTGAAGATCCTTACTAAACCCCAGATATATATTCAATTATGATCGCAATCCCAATGAGTCTATCTCTTTCGATACTTATGACCGACAATAACCAGCAACTAGTAACAGACTGACCTTCCTCCGTCGATAACAGAGTTCTCATAGTTAGTTTCAGACTAACATACTATCAATAAAAACTATCAGAGACTAGATATAGTCAGCAAGTTACATACTAACCTACGACTACAATCATCAATAATAACTATCAGAGACTAGATACAGAGTCAAGAAGTTATATACTAACCTACGACTACAACCATCAATAATAACTATTAGAGACTAGATATAGTCAGCAAGTTACATACTAACCTACGACTACAACCATCAATAATAACTATTAGAGACTAGATATAGTCAGCAAGTTACATACTAACCTACGACTACAACCATCAATAATAACTATTAGAGACTAGATGTAGTCAGCAAGTTGCAAACTAATACTTGTACCGCCAGCAAGGATAACTTGGCGCAAGATGTAGGCTGATGAGGCGCCGGTAATAAGAAGACAGATATAGCGTCAGAAAGTTTCCAACTACCTGGAATACAACTATGTGTAATCAAACGAGGCGTCGCGAAATAAAATATCTATTAATCTGAGAACAGTATTTCCTACATTCGATTGGAAACAAAATATACAAAGATGATTCGTCTTGGGAAATTAAATTGAGAAAAAACAGATAGAGATATAGTTAGAGATATAGATGGAAAAAAACGGAGGCTGTCTCGCTGAAATATGATCCGACTGGACTGGAATTCGTATATAGTCTGGATCAATACTCGGGATTATTTTAATTAAATTCGGAAAAAATTTCACCCTGGAATTCCATATCTAAATGGGATCCGACAATACAATGATTAAGTTATTGCCATAAGAAAACAAGCTCAGTTCCTATTTGTAGTGTGTGTTATATGCTGGACACCCGATACCATTATGAAATACTCACTTATGATTGATATATTTCCTCATGTGAATAGTTCATTAGCTGCTACCCAATGTTGCATTAAAATGTTGTTACAGATTTCAGGTTTCGTTTTGCGGTTTGGGTCGTTAGGTTATTTATTCAGTACTATCCGCAAGTTAATAATTACAACTCACGACTATATGTGTATTACTTTTAAGAATGGCAATACGATTTAAGGTTCATGACAAAATGTAATGAAATGGCGATTTCATGTGATATATTTGGCAGCTCTTTAAAAGAACAGCGGATTCTAGCAATTTGCGAAAAAACCCTCAAATTAACGTTGTTTTTCTATGAAATTGGGGAATAATGTAAAACTGATTACATAGCAGGTGAAATTGAAAATGAATTTCCAGATAAACAAAACAAAAAAAAAGCCTTTTTATTTGAAAAAGTTACCAAACAGGCTTGTACGAACAACTGGTGAAACTCAATAACTAGATCTGTCGGCTCGACATCCTCATACACTCATAGGCATCTTGACAATCTCCTTCGTCTCATACTTTGACATAAATATTAATTTGGAGCTTTGAAATTGTTTAAAGAACAAAACAGAGGCAAATATTTTTGAATGAATTGAGATGACAACAATAAAATATATCACTAGACCTAGATTATATTCTAGTTATTGCAAATTGCAATCGATAAAATATTATCATATGGAAGTTTGTGAATACTATCCACAAACAAGAAAACCGTAATTGAGCCCCGCCGTTTCACAACGTAGAAATAAAAAGGAGGCAACCATAAGCAAGAAACCAAATACATAATATAATAAAGTTTATTGTGTGGTATTCTAAATTAAAACACGAAATCTTAGTTAACCGTGTAATAGCCACCCTGATCGTAATTTCCAAAACAACTCTAGTCAAATTAAGAACATAGTTTCGAATGCATCCTTTCAGAAAACTGCGTGCCAGAATGAAAACACAAGTATGCAATAAAAACATTTCTTATGTTGTTTACATCAACAGCATTATCACCTGTTGGTTTTTATAATAAACATGGAACCTGTTGAATATACATATATTCTACATTTCATGTTTTATTTCAAGTTTTAAATCAGATTCGTAAATAGATATTTATTTTATTACTTGACGGTTTTTGATCAAAGATTATACAGTTTATAATATATAACAGTTCATCCACTGTGGTATCTGAATCACATTTTGCCATTTAGTTAGAATTGAAAATCAACTCCTGAATCTTAAGCTTAAGCTGATAACAGTTTGTATCAAGGAAAACTATGAAAATATATTACATACTGGAATTATCAGACCGTAAAGTGGGCCATTTTCATTCAAATTCTGAGATGAGAGGATTTTCAGTTGCTTGGTTATGAAACCTTCTATGAAACTATTGTCTGAGCAAATTAAAAAGTTTTTTGAATTTTTTCGATATTTTTTTAGGAGAATTGGAATATCAGCCTTAAAATAGTACTGATAGTCTAAGAATGTCTTTGTGTTGATAAAAATATAATCTTTTGTAAATTTACATTGAAAAGAAACACATTTCCCTCCTAGAAATTTCAACCCCAAAAAGTCACAAATTTTGGCTGAAAATGGGCCTCTGTAAAAAAAAAATTTTGAAGACATAATGTTTGCTTATGTTTATATTTTTAATAAAGCAAAGACATTTTAAGACTAATTATGAGGCTGATATTCCAATTCTCTTAAAAATAATAGAAACAAATTCAAAAAGCGTTTTACTTTGCTCAGACAATAAAGGTTTATACGATAAAAGGAAGCATTTGAAAGATTCATTCTGAATATCCGTGATAAAACGGTGAGCTCAGTTTTCAAATTGCAGATAAACCAAGATATCTCTGCTGTGGACAGGACAATAAGGTGTCGGTTCCGATCATTTTAAAATACAAATGACGAAATTACTTACTTGATCTTTTCCCATGTTTCTTCACCAAAGTTTCTTAACACCAATAGTTCTAAAGCGTGATTTACAAACCCATACTGAAGTATAAAAAATAAAAGCAACGGTGATTTGTGGGCCGATATTTTCAGAATATCAAAAAAAAGGCTGTAACTATCATGCTTTTAAATATAATTGGGGATTTAAATCTATATATCAGTATTACAAAGTTCTCAGCATTTAGAATCGGAGACGTTTGTCATAAATATAGCAATCTACCACAATGGTATAAAAAACTGTTTAAGCAAATACTCTGGTTGGTTGCTCTGATTCTCAAAGTTGCAATTTAATTCAGGAAATGAAATGAATGGGCTTAAGAAGACGCGTTACACCGTGCAGGGTACAATGTAAAATTTGCATTAGCCTGCTCTTTTTCGATTTCCAACTGTTGAGGGATCTTTAACGTGCACAGCCTGTAGCACATGGGGTTTCGGTTTATTTTCCCACCCGAACGACTCGGCGCTGTTTTCATGTCAGCCCCTGCATCACTGACAGGGGGAAACCGGGTTGAAAAATCCGAAGGTATCCTATGCCGGAATTGAACCGCACTTGTTCAGAGGTTTGGTTGAAATTTCAACATACGATGTCAGATGTCTAGCAATCTCACACAAACTCTTTAAGAAAATATTGACGAAAGGTTCCCAGAGTCAAACAGCCAAGGCAATTAACCTTTCCCTTAAGATTAAGAAACAAAAAAACATAAAATGGCAGGTGATATCTTTCACAAGTGCCAAATAGTTTACTTCTAACAGAGAGGAAAACGTGCTGAATACCATATGAAATGTTGAAATCGCATAAAAATAACAGTATCTTCAGCGTGCATCATACAAAAAGTTTGACCCGTAGGCTATCTGTATGAATTTTTTAGATAAACAGATAATTAAATAATACTAATTAGTTCTTTCTAATTAACAAAACTGCAATTCATCTAGGAAATATGAGAAATGAAGAAAACTGGCAGCATATTTAACAAGCATTTGTTTCATAGAATGTATTTTAGTTTTAGACATGATAGATTACATGTAAATAAAGATAACTGAAAACTTTTGTCAAAATGTCTAATATTAAATTGTCTGTCTGATGATAATATGTGGACGAGATGTCTATGTGATGATAATATGTGGACAAGATGTCTATCTGATAATAATAAATTGACATGTTGTCTATCTGATGATAATAAATTGACATGTTGTCTGTCTGATGATAATAATTTGGCAATTTTTCTGTCTGATGATAATATGTGGACTTGTTGTCTATCTGATGATAATAATTTGACAAGTTGTCTGTTGATCTGACGATAATAATACACTTTGACTGAGAAATGATAAGTTGTTAGTGTAATGACAATTAGTTGTCTGATTGTGACAAGTTAACAAATTGTCTGTGTGATGATGGTAATAAGTTGCCTGCTGGATGATAAGCTGTCTGATGATAACAAATTCTGTCTGATAATGATAATTTGACAAGATGTCTGATTGGTGATAATAATATGACAAGGTGACTGGAAAAAGAAAGTGGTTTGTTTGATGAATATAATTTGTTGTAAGGTAGTGCAAGCTTACAGTGTGATGACGAAATTTTAATACATTTGTTGTGTTGTTTTAATACGACTTGTATGAACATAGAAAATCGCCATGTTTCACAAAAAAGACTAGCTGTCAAGTGAAATTTAGATGATCAAATTTGATCTCTGTTAAACAAACGTGACAGGTGCCTAGATTGTCTTCAACATAATCTGTCAGCAAACATGTTTTTTTTAGTTTTTTTTTTTGCGCCTTAATGATCTTTTTACCCTTATGTTATCTGGAGATTGGTGCAGATTAGGGCTAACTTTATGTTTATGATTACGGTGACCACGGATTCATAGCTTAACTGATATGACGTGTTGTGGCTATTGAACCGTTTTGACTCTTTAATGTATTGGTATTCTATCGATGTTTTCTTACGGTCCATAATGGAATCATTTTAAAGACAAGAAGACCAACGGCCTTGATGCAATGTTTATAGTGTGTTTTTAGAGGTCACGATGGTGAGACGTGCCAAATCATGCATTTCATGCGTGTCACTAAATCAATATGGAACATGGGATCTACTTTATATTTACAAAGTCATACTTCCAAAGTTCCAGCACTGTGACTTTGTCCAACCTGTTTTGCTCACAGTGATCCGAAACTGAGGGGTTCTGTAGCACATCGGTTACCTTTGTAATATTTTCTCCTGCTGGACCAGTTGATTAAAAGGATCCAATGTGTATTGTTCCTGCCTTTTTTCTCTTTCGTACTTATAACTGTGACCAGTGTAAATTGTAACGACCGATATTTTAAATCTCAAACATAGATGGGGATAATTTCACGAAAGAAGCAAGGAGATTTGACGAGATAAATATTGGTATCTGACAGCAGATCTAAACAAATTTACGAGTTCGCTCAGATTTTCCATTAGTGCTTTTCTTCACTTAATGGCATGTTAAGGCCGACTGCTGATCAATTTTGATGTTAAATATAGTTATAAAATAGTCTCTATTTAATTCTGTTTAAAATGTACCACTTTCAAACGTGAGACTTGTGTAAAGCAATCTCAACATGAGGACTTTCTTCTTGTTTTCAATTTCAAATTCAATTTACTGTAGCAATAAGCCAGTTGTTGGTTTTTTTTCCAGTCTTGTCATTCAGTTGATTTTAAAGACTTTTAAAACACGAGTTCGTGGCATGTGTAAAAGAAACAATTTCTGACTTAAATCCATATTAGACAGTAATAGGTTAGGACATGACATAAAGTCTTCGTTTAAAAGTTGCATCACCTAAAAGTAGAGTTGCATGTTACGCGAATCTTTTCGGTAAAAATAAATTTTCCACGCAATTTCTATTTTTTTTGTGGTAAACGATGTCATTAATTTTTCGTGGGTGGTATCTATTAATTAACTTAGTGTTGGAATATTCCGTGATAACTTACCATTAAGAACAAGATTTTGAATAATATACTTCAAAAGCTTTTTAAAGACTGACAGCTCTGAATTAAAGCATGATTTTTATGATAACGGCACAATTTTTTATGCTTTAATGTACTCTGAACTCTTCAGTTGATGAGGAACAGAATAATCTGAGCTCTTGCACCACTGACTACAGTATGTATATATAATATTTTGCTTGGTCTAATACAATAATATAGTAGTGAAATACGATTCCTTCAGCAACTGAAATTCTCATCTTAAACATAAACTGCACTACAACAGTCATTTAAAAACGAGCAGTTTTTTGAGTGTAAATCTATCGCTTGTAAACATGTCAGAAATACTTTTCAGTATAATTATATTTTCTATTTGGCTCAGTAAATTATACAACGTGTGTTATTTTAACCAGGTTTCATTTCAATACGAACTGTTTTGGCAAGGGAATTGAATTCAATTTATTGTGTATGCCAATTAAACGGCAATATGAACATTATAGTCGTATCTGATGCGGTCTGTACATGGAATGGTCGCCTGGCCATCCATTTGTCTGATCATCGTTAATGGCAGACAGACTGCTTCCGCCACTGAATGAAGTTCGAAAATTATGACAGCTGTTATCAGATTTCGCCAATTTTGAAAACAGTTGAACAGAAATGGCCAATGAGATGGTTGTTTAACATCTTGACATACGGTTACGTCGTAGCTTCTGGTAATTGTAAATTTCAGCTTACAACAGCATGACATTGTTCAGTCTTTATCAATTAAATTCAACAGGGTTTTTTTTCTGTCAAAATTTTCAAACAATCGAATAGAGGTTGCCTTTTAGTTAGTTGCTTAACATGTCAATATCAGGTTATGATTTAATCTGAAAACATGTTAAAGGCATTATTATCTGGAAAATTCAATGGCAGATTAGAAGGCGCATTAAAAGCCGCTTTGGCACAAACTACAGACGCCTGAACATTAGAATGGTGGAAATAGATGCTATCAGTCTCCTCGAAAAACTTGAAAAAGTTTAGAAATCTTCTTGACAATCCCTTTAAGATTAGCGGTATCAACCTTCCATTATAAAAGGATATTTCTAAAACAAAAGGCCAAAGTTAAAACAAAGAAAATTGCTATTAAAACCCAGACTATCGACCGATGTTTTCTTGGTGAATTTTTAGTCTCAGCCTAAAGATCACCTCTAAGCTCCATAAGGATCTAGAAATTCATTTCTGTCTTTGATTAAAGACGACTGAAATTGAGGGGTTATTTCAACCAGACTGCAGATTCGTCCTTGGGGGGTTATTTTCCTGCCAAAAGACGTAATTATATATCAGTTTAAAGGAGCCATCACGACAGATCTGTAATTTAGATGTTTTCCTTTAAATGTGGAGACAATGTACCAACCTGAAGCAACCAGTAAAAGGAATTCTACTTAAGGTAGTGCTGCCCTTTGTCAATTCTCGAGTGAATTTGGAAACCTATCCAGAACAAATTTTCGCGAGGTTCTATAGCACAGTCGGTTACAGCGTTGGCTCTCTACTTGACGTCATTTGCTTGGTAACGTCGAGCAAATTCCAGTCGAGCCAACTGTAAATGGGTACGGATAATATGGGAAAGATCAATGGCAAGGTTTGGCCAAGGACCAGCTGGTAGAGAGGACCCTTAACTGTGAACCTAAGTTGTTATCCTTGTAAAATAATAATATAGTTTCTTTCTTTCTACATTCTCACCAAAAATAGTTATCTTTTCGCTGTCAATTCAACATTATTATTACACTTCCAAAGTATCTAACTAGGATATATCTGAAATATTGAAACCGTTCGTGAAAGAGACGTTACCATAAATTCGTTTGTTCTCTGGGATATTCAGTTTATTGAGTTTTATCTGAACTGTTATGAGATAACTAACAATGATTCATTTTTCATATTTCCAGTCGCAATTTTTTACTTCTTTGTGTCACTTTCAATTCATAAATATTTCATGTTCTTCCAGTTGTAAATTTTTGTTACATTTCGATTTTTAGTGATACATTAGCCTATATTATATATCATTGAGATCGAGACAGAATACTAAATTCAGACAATTTATCAATGAGATTTTTTATGC